AATGCCTCTGCTGCTGCTTGCTGCAGCAAATAAGGTGGTGCTGTTAAAGCCTGAGCCTCCTCCCAGGACAAACAAAGCTCCCTAGCGCATGCAACGAATCGCAGCAGCAGCAGCAGCAACAGCAGCAGCAGCTGCAGCAGCGGCAATTGCAGCAGCAGCCCGACCAGCAGCAGCACCACAAAAGCGGCAGCAGCAGCAACAACAACAACAGCTGCAGCAGCAGCTACCGCAGCAACTGCAGCAAAGCTAGCAGCAACAGCAGCAGCAACATGTACTCGAATAGAGGCAAAGGAGGGCATGCTGTAGAGCTGCGTATACACCCCAGAACCTCCGTAAGATGATACTCGGCTAGCAGCAAACGCCTGCAGCACTTTAGCTGCTGCAGCAGCGCCTCATCGCAGCAGCAGTTTTCCCCCTCTACTATTAATTCAGCCAACTCTTCTAGCAGCTTGAGGCCCTGCTGCTGCTGCTGCTGCTGCTGCTGCTGCTGCTGGCTGTCCACCTGCTGGTACTGCTCCTGTTGCTGCTCTTGTTGTTGATGCTCGTCCTGCTGCTCGTGCTGCTGCTCGTGCTGCTGCTCGTGCTGCTGCTGCTGCTGTTCGCCGTGTCTCTCTTGCTGCTGTGCTTCTGGATTCTCTACATCCTGCGATGCGGGCCCCACAGCTTGGCTGCCCTCTGGTTGCTGCTGCTGTTGTTGCTGTTGTTGTTGCTGTTGTTGTTGCTGCTGCTGCTGCTGTTCCTGCTGCTGCTGTTGTTGCTGCTGCTGGTGCTCTTTCCCGTCTGTCTGACGGCCAGTTGCTCCGCAAAACTTTTGCTGTTGCTGCTGCTGAGGCACAGGCAGCAGCAACCCAGGCATGAACGAAACTAACAAAGACAGCTGCTGCAGCAGCGGAAGAAGCAGCAGAACCAGCAACAGCAACAGGCAATGCATCAGCAACAGCAGACTCAGCAGCAGAAACAACAGCAACAACATGAACAGCATCGCCAACAGCCTTAGCAGCAACAGCAACAGCAGCACCACCACCAGAAGCAGCCTCAGCATCTACAGTCTGAGCAGCAACAGCCTCCGCAGCAGCAGCAGCAGCCCCAGCAGCAGCAACAGAAGCAGCTGCAACAGCAGGAACAGGAGCAGCCCCAGCAGCCGCCCCAGCAGCAGCAGCAACCCCAACAGCAGCTCCAGCAACAGCCCCGGCAGCAGCCCGGGCAGCAGCCTCAGCAGCAGCCTCAGCAGCAGCCTCAGCAGCAGCAACAGCAGCAGCCCCAGCAGCAGCAGCAGCAGCAGCAGCAGCAGCGGACTGCAATGCGTAGGGCGTTTTTGATATGCGCCTCCTTCCCCAGGCGTTTGGTTTCGCGCTGCAGCATTTCTGCTGCTCTGCAATCCAACAGACTCTTCTCTGTCTCGCGAGCAGCCTGAGGCAAGCAGCAACACCTCTTCAAGCAGCTAGCTGGGTGGCTAGCTAGCTAGCTAGATGGGTAGCTAGCTGGCTAGCTAGCTGGCTAGCTAAATGGGTAGCTAGCTGGCTAGCTAGATGGGTAGATCAATAGCTAGGTAGCTAGCTAGTCATCTTGCTAGCTAGCCATCTAGCTAGCAGCAGCAAGAGCAGCAGCAGCAGCAGCAACCGCAGCAAACATTCGGTAGGAGCAGCAGACCTGCTGCAGCGCATGCAGAGTCCCCTCCTCAAAGGCAGCTATCAGCCGCTGCTCTGCTGCTAAGGACGCATGCAGCGCATAGTCACACCTGCGCAGGAGCAGCAGCAGCAGCAGCAGCAGCAGCAGCAGGGGTAGCAGTAGCAGCAGCAAGAGCAACGGAAGCAGCAGTAGCAACAGAAGTAGCAGCAACTGCAGCAACAGCAAAGGCAAGTCCTTCTTTCTTTCGCGAAAAACAGAGTTAAGCTTAGTAATTAGTGTTTAGTGTTTAGGGTTTAGGGTTTAGGGTTTAGGGTTTAGGGTTTAGGGTTTAGGGTTTAGGGTTTACCAGGTGACGAGCCTCTCTCCTTCTGTGGCGGTAGGCGTTTCGTAGGCCCAGAAGAAATGCACAGCTTCCTGGACGCCCCAACACCAGCAGAGGGTTTAGGGTTTAGGGTTTAGGGTTTAGGGCTTAGGGTTTAGGGTTTAGTTTCTTGTTTCTCAGCTACACTGTTGAGCTTGCAAAATTCAAATTGTTTGCTTTAAAATTTAGGGCCTACGACCTAGGGTTTGCGGTCAAGGGTTTAGGGTTTAGGGTTTAGGGTTTAGGGTTTAGGGTTTAGGGTTTGCCTTTGCATAAAAGTCTTGCGTAAAGGAGCAGAGGAAGCGCACTCGTTTGTAAGAAAAAGGAATACCCGTTATGGGGCATCGTGTTGCTGCTGCTGCTGCATCTAGCAGCATGCGGCAGGCCTCCTCCTGCAGCAGCAGCAGCAACAACAACAACAGCAGCAACAGCAGCAGCAGCAGCAGCAGCAGCAGCAGCAGCACTAGCAGCACCAGCAACCCTCCATGTACTGTGCTTCTTATATAAAGTAGAGGTGTAGCCGCATCTACAGTTGCTAGCCTAAGCAGCAGCTTCAGGTGCAACAGCAGCAGCAGCAACAGCAGCAGCTGCAGCAGCAGCAAAAGCAGCAGCATTTCCTACTTACAGAAGCAAGAGCTGCTGCTGTGTGTCCCCTGGCGTTCTTCGCCTCTACAGGCACGCCGAGGCCGAGCACAGCTTTCACTGTCTCCAGTGACCCCCCAGCAGCAGCTGCAGCAGCAGCAGCAACAGCAGCAGCAGCAGCAGCAGCAGCAGCAGTTCACTAGAATTCCGTTGCTTAAGGCCAGAGAGCAGTCAATTCAGCAGAGTTGGCGTCAGCAACAGCAGCAAATGCTGCTGCTACACGAGCAGCCATCATACGAAGCATCAGAAGCAGCAGCAACAGCAGCAACAGCAGCAACAGCAGCAACAGCAGCAGCAGCAGCAGCAGACCCTGGTGCAGCACAGTATTGCCGTAGGCGTCCTTAGCAAAGGGTGAGAGGCCTGCTTTTAGCAGCAAATAAAAAATGTGCGTCTCCCCTTTAAACGCTGCCCAGTGCCTGCAGCAGCAAGCCAAATCCTAAACCCTAAACCCTAAACCCTAAACCCTAAACCCTAAACACTAGGCCAAGACAGCAACTCACGAAACCCTACCCAAACCCTAAACCCCAGCTTCTAGCAACGGAGCAGCAGGATTAATCTGCAGCCAATTTAATCTTCTCAACTGCCCAGTGGATTGAAGCGGCAGTTCGGGGTTTAGGATTTAGGGTTTAGGGTTTAGGGTTTAGGGTTTGAAACCTTGGGTTTAAGGGATGTATCCGCACAGGGGGGAATATTTTCTCCTGGCCGGGGGAAGGGGCTGCGCTTGCTCCTGATCACCTGAAGTAGTTGTTGCTGCTGCTGCTGCTGCTGTTGGTGCTGCTGCTGTTGGCGTTGCTGCTGCTGCTGCTGCTGCTGCGTCGCCTGCTGGTCTTTCTTGTTGCTGCTGCTCCTGCTGCTGCGGTGTAGCAGCTGCTGCAGCAGCTGGTGAGGGTGCGGAAGACTTCTCCGCTGCTGCTGCAGCAGCTGCTGCAGCAGAGGGAGCCTCCTCCGGTGGTTTGTGCTGCTGATTGGAGTGTCTCTCTTTAGCCTGCTGTCTCCTTTGCTGCTCTTGCTGCAGCAGCTGCTCTAGCTTGGGGTTTAGCTGCCAAGACTGCGCTTCGATGGGCACGAGAGCCTGTTGCAGCTGCTGCTGCTGCTGCTTCTGCTGCTGCTGCTGCTGCTGCTGCTGCTGCAGCTCGACGAGGTGGTCTGCTGCTCCGTATCTCAGCAGCTCTTTCACCAGCACCGCATTGCCGTGCACAACCGCCCACTGCAGCGCACTCCACTGGGCTGCATCCTGCATCCCCAAACCCTAAACCCTAAACCCTAAACCCTAAACCCTAAACCCTAGGGGTAAGCTCTAAGGAATGGAGGGAAAGAAGAAGTTAGTATGGCCGGAGCATCAGGAGTTTTCGCTTTGTTAGTGGTTTAGGGTTTAGGGTTTAGGGTTTAGGGTTTACCTCTACGGCTGGGTCCGCGCCGTCTTTAAGAAGGGCCAGGGCTCTGTCTGTGTTGTTTGCTTCTGCTGCTTCAAACAACCGTTTTGTTGCTCTCGCTTTCTTCTCTGTCTTGGGAAGCAGCTGCTCCTCCAGTGCATCTACTTCAGGGCCGCGAATGAAGGCCTCCATCGCTGCTGCTGCTGCTGCTGCTGCTGCTGCTGCTGCTGCTGCTGGGGCTTGTGCTACTGCTGGGGCTTGTGCTACTGCTGCTGCTGCTGCTGGGGCTTGTGCTGCTGCTGCTGGGGCTTGTGCTGCTGTTGCTGCGGCCTATGCGTCTGACGTTGCTGCTTGTACTGCTGCTGCTGCAGTTGTGCTGCTGCTGCTGCGGTTGTGCTGCAGCTGCTGTGGTCGCGGAGGCTGCTGCTGCTGCTGCTGAGCCTGCTGCTGCTGCAGCTGAGCCTGCTGCTGAGGTTGTTTCTGTTGCTGCCGCTGCTGCAATTGCTGTTTTTCTTGCTGCTGTTGCGCCTGCTGCTGCTTCTGCTGTTATTGCTGTTGCTGCTGCTGTTGCATTTACTGCAGCGTCTGCTGCTGCTGCTGCTGTTGGTGGTGTTGTTGTTGCTGCTGCTGCAGCGTTGTTATTTCTTTTAAGATTTCCGCTGTGTCTCTGCGTCTCCGTCCTATTCTTTCACTTTGAGCTCCTGCTTGCTGCAGCAGCAGCAGCAGCTGCAGCAGCTGCAGCAGCAGCAGCAGCAGCCAAGAAGAAGAGAGTAGACAAACAGAGACAGCGAGAAAAGCAGAGATATTTACTGTCTCTGTCTGCGTAATTTATTTGTTTGTTTTGTTTATTTTATTTTTTGTATTTGTGTGGCTTTGCCCGTCTTTATTATTTTTTTTTTGTTTATTTATCTTTATCTTTGTTTAGGTTTATGTTTATGTTTATCTTTGTTCATCTTTATCTTTGTTTATCTTTGTTTATGTTTATGTTTATCTGTCTCTATCTTTGTTTATCTCTATCTATACCTCTGTCTCTGTCTTTGTCTATATTTGTTTATTTCTATTTATGTCTTTATCTTTGTTTTTTTATTTATTTTCATGTCTTTGTCTTTTATTTATTTATTGCTGTCTCTTGTCTTTGGCGCTGCTGCTGCTGTGGGGGCCCCTAAGGGCCCCTGTTTAGCGACACCAGAAGCATATAAAGCAAAATAAGGGTTTAGGGTTTAGGGTTTAGGGTTTAGGGTTTTGGGTTTTGGGTCGCCCTCGAAATCTCGGGCGCGCGGCACTTGGTGACCTCCCCTGAGGGTTTAGGGTTTAGGGTTTAGGGTTTAGGGTTTTTGTTTCGTAAAAGTTCTTCATTCTGCAGCAGCTGCTGCAGCAACAGGAACTTTTATTGTTTCTGCAGCAGCAGCAGCAGCAACAGCAGCAGCAGCAGCAGCAGCAACAGCAGCAGCAGCAACAGCAGCAGCAGGGCTTTGAGGGCTCCCAGGCGGTCGGCTGCTGCCGACACCCCTAAACCTTAAACCCTAAACCCTAAACCCTAAACCCTTGAAACTTTCGCCCGTCACAAATCACTTATACTTTTTAAAGATCTGCTCTGATCTTTTTACACATGAAGAATAGTTTAGGGTTAAGAACTTAGGGTTTAGGGTGTTGGTGTTGAGGGACAGCAGCAGCAGCAGCAGCAGCAGCAGCAGCAGCAGCAGCGGCAGCGGCTGGCCCACTGGTTTATCTGCCGCTGCAGTTGAGCATTTATGAAGAAAACCCTAAACCCTAATTCTTATCCGCTAAACCCTAAACCCCAATTCGATTTACATAATTCAATGTCTTCAGAGTTTAGGGTTTAGGGTTTAGGGTTTAGGGTTTGGGGTGGGTAGGTCTTGCCGGGGTCACTCGGGCCAGAGCAGCAGCTCGCTAAGGCGGTTGCTGCTGCTGCTGCTGCTGCTGTTGTTGCTGCTGCTGCTGCTGCTGCTACTTCTTCTGCTGCTCTGTATTCTAATCGCCAGTCAGATGCATTCGTACATCGTTCGGCTTAGAACCATCAGCCTTAAACCCTAAACCCTAAACCCTAAACCCTAGCTCGGTGTTGCAGCCGGCTGGCAAAGAAACTCAAGGCGAAACCTCGAGCATCAGGTGGGAGAGTAAAAGGCCTCATCTCCCTCCAGCTTCGCAGGGTTTAATGTTTAGGGTTTAGGGTTTAGGGTTTAGGGTTTAGGGTTTACTTTTTAGTGTTTGAGGTATATGGTTCTAAGGGACCGCTGATGTTTAAACTCTGCGTTCGAGGGTTTAGGGTTTAGGTCTTAGGTCTTAGGGTTTAGGGATATAGTTTAGGGTTTAGGGTTTAGGGTTTAGGGTTGTGGGCGAGGCGTTTGAGTTTATTGCTATAAAGGCTTTTTAGGGTTTAGGGTTTAGGGTTTGTGGTTTGTTCAAGCTTACTTCATCCGGCCAAGTGTAAATGCAGTATACCTCTGCCTCTGCTGCTTATCTGTGCTTACTTCAGCAGCAGCAGCAGCAGCAGCAGCAGCAGCGGCAGCAGCAGCAAAGAGAACAGCAACAGCAACAGCGACAGAAGCAAAATGACCAACAACAGCAGCAACAGCAGCAGCAGCAAAATGAACAACAGCAACAATAACACCAACAGCAGCAGCAGCAGGATGAAGGGGCTGTTAAGAAGCAGCAAAACAGCAGCAGCAGCAGCACAAAGAGCTGCGCCTCTCAGCGTTGCTGCTGCTGTTGAAATAATCAGAATTACCCAGCTGCTGCAGGAGGCGCAGCAGCAAGCAGAAAAGACGCAGCTGCTGCTGCGAGATGTACAAGGACTCAGGTAGCACAAACCCTAAACCCTAAACCCTTACGCGCAGACCCTAAACCCTAATGCGCAAACCCTGAACACTAAACCCTACAGCGCGAACCCTAAACCCTATACCCTTGCGCGCAAACCCTAAACACTCAATCCTAAACCCTAAGCCCTAGATCGCAAACCCTAAACCCTAAACCCTAGAGCACAAACCGTAGACCATGAACACACACAAGCCGGGCCCTCTGCGCCCGGTTGCTGGCTGATTTCTCTGGCTGCTTAGGGTTTAGGGTTTAGGGTTTAGGGTTTGCAGAGGGTTTAACTCTGTACAGATATGAGATGCAAGGAATTGAGGGGGAGAGCTATTTGCTGCGCAAGAAGAAAGTCGTAGACACAAACAAACTTAAAGCCCTCCAGAGTCAACTGGCAGCAGGTAACCCTAAACCCTAAACCCTAAACCCTAAACCCTAAACCCTAATTTGTTTCATTATCAGTGTGCGGTGCACGGTGTGAAGGCCTATCCAGCACACAGAGGAGGTCGGCGTTCAGGGTTTAATTAGGGTTTAGGGTTTAGTGGTCTTAGGGTTTAGGGTTTATGCTCTGCGGGTTTGCTGCTGCTACGCAGAACAGCAGCAGAAACAGGAGACAGACAAACAAATACTGTTGCTGAGACGCCACACAGAAACCATGTATCGTCAACTAAACCCTAAACCCTAAACCCTAATCCCTCAGCAACTGCTCGCTGGCTGCCTCCCGTTGCTGCTGCTGCTGCGCCTCCGCTTGGTTGCTATTTGCTTTTCTTGCTTTTTTGCTGCTGCTGCAGCAGCAGGTACAGGTGTTTTTGTTTCGCTGCTGCACTAGCTGCCGCTGCTGCTGCTGCAGGTACGGATGTTCCTGCTTTTGCTGCTGCAATAGCTGCTGCTGCTGTTGCTGCTGTTCTGCTGCTCAGGAGAAGGGAGCAGCAACAAATGAGTCAAGAGATCTCCAGCATCACCCTTCGTATAAGACAAGCTGTAAACCCTAAACCCTAAACCCTAAGCCCTAAGCCCTAAACCCTAAACCCTAATCCCTAGAACGAGCCCTCTTGAAGCCTTCGGAATCCCCTCAAAGGATGCGAGTTTAGGGTTTAGGGTTTAGGGTTTAGGGTTTGAGTTGTGCGTGCGCCTTTACAGCGTGGAGAAACAGTAACAAAGCATCATACTTGGCAGGCAAGAGAGCAGCAAAGATGCAGCAGCAACAGAAGCAGCAGCAACAGAAGCAGCAGCAACAGGAGCAGCAGCAACAGATGCAGCAGTAACAGAAGCAGCAGCAACAGAAGCAGCCACACAAGCAGCAGCACCAGCAACTGCAGCAACAACAGCAGATTCTGCAGCAGCTGCAGCAGCACGACCAGCAGCCGCTGCAGCAGCAGCAGCAGCAAATAGTGCGTGCGGGGTGGTTGCTGCAGGCTGCTGCATCAGAGAAGCATCGATTAGGAATTGAAACAGTTTGCTTCTTTAATGGCCGGCAAGACCTAGAGGTGCCTATACACCCCAGCACCACGAGCAGCAAAACAATAACAGCAGCTCGCGTGCCTTGTCTGTTGCTGCTGCTGCTGCTGCTGCCTCATCCGCTGCAACTGCAAGTGCTGTTGCTGCTGCTGCAGCGGATGTAACTGCCGCAACTGCAACTGCAACTGCTGTTGCTTATGACGATGCTGCTAGTGCTGCTGCTGCTGCTGATGCTGCTGCTGCTGCTGCGCTGCTTCTGTGATTTCAGCGGCTGAACAAAAAGGAGAAGCGCGTACACCTCCAGAAAAAGGCAAGGAGAGACCTAAACCCTAAACCCTAAACCCTAAACCCTAAACCTTAGACCCACAAATGGCCAAGCTGCTGCATCTACTGCCTCATCCGCTGCTGCTGTTGCTGCTGCTGCTGCTGCTGCTGCAGAAGAGCATATTGAAGCTGCAAGCGAGCTACAGGGAGGCACAGCGGCTGCAAGCACTGAAGACAGGATCCGTTAGCTGCAGGTGCTGTTGTTGCTGCTGCTGCTGCTGTGCATATGTCGCGCTGTTGCTGCTTGTGCTGCTGCTGCTGTTTGTGCGGCTGTTCGGCACGTGTGTTCCGTTGCTGCTGTTGCTGCTGTTGCTGCAGCTCCTCAGCCGAATCTGCTGCGGAGGCCCCAGATGCCCAAGAGACTGAAGACGCAGCTAGCTAGCCAGCTAGCTAGCTAGCTGCACGAACAGCTAGGCATATGTGCTGCTAAGGGGCCCCCCGCTGCAGCCCACTCAGCTAGCCAAACCTCGCGTCTGAGTTGCTTCCCTCACCCCTCCTGCTTCGCCTTCTCAGCCGCCTGGCTAGCTAGCTAGCTAGCTATCTAACTAGCTAGCTAGCTATCTAGCTAGCTATTCGAGAAGAAGAGAAGCCAGCTAGCTAGCTGAACAACTGCCCAATTAAGTGACTGGCAAGTCGAACCCCTGTCTAGCTAGCTAGCTGGCTAGCTAGCAAGACAGCTAGCTAGCTAGCTACCCAGCCAGCTAGCTAGCAGCATCTGTAGAGGTCGCGCTGCAGTGCTGAGGAGCCGCACCTTCCCCCCTCGCGGCACCTACAGAAGTGCTGCCAACGCCTAAGCTGCTACAGCAGCTAGCTAGCTAGTTAGCTAGCCAGCTAGCCAGCTAGCTAGCTACTTAGATGACTAAGGAGCACTGCAAGCAAAGCCGAAGGGGTTTGTTTAAACAAGGGCTTACGGCGTCATATCCTGGAAGTCAACCTGCTGCTGCTGCTGCTGCTGCTGCACCTGCTACTGCTGCAGCAATTGCGGCTGCTACTGCTACGGCTGCTGCGGCTGCGGTGCACGCAGCATTTCTTGCTGGTGAAGATGCAGCAGCAGCTGCTGCTGCTGCTGCAACTTCTAGGACGCCCCACACTGTACTGCTGCGGCTGTTGCTGTTGCCAAGCCGCGCTCATATCCCTCTGGAGACCTGCTGCTGCTGCTGCTGCTGCTGCTGCTGCTGGTAGGAGTTTAGGGTTTTTGTTTGCTCCAGATAACAACTAAACATCGCAGCAAAACAGTCAGAGGGGGTCGCTGCACTGGAGAGAGCGGCTTCCCTGGTGGTGAGACAGCTAAGACTTTGGCGTTGTGTTGCTTCTGCTTCATAAGGTAGGACTTAGCTGCTTCTTGCTTTGCTGCTGCTGCTGCTGCTGCTGCCGCTGCTGGTGATACTGTTGCTGACGAATCCAGGGATGGGTCTGTGTCTGAATCACTCACAAAGACACAACTTGGATGCTGCCAAGGCAGCAAATATGAGCGTGATGCTGCTTTTGCTGCTGCTGGTTCTGCTGCTGCTGCTGCTGCTGCTGCTGCTGTTGTCGGTACTCTGCTCAATTCTTCAGCTGGTATGGAGGACCCCACAGCCCCCTGCGGCTGTTGTTGCTGCTGCTGCTGCTGCTGGGAAGACATTGCTGTCGTGTGCCGTTCAGCAGCACCAGCTTACAAGTGCAGCAGCAGCAACAGCAGCGGCAGCAGTTGCTGCTGCTGCTGCTGGTGGTGTGTCTTTGCTGTTACACTTTCTGCTTCTTGCCTTGAAGATTATCCCTACTGAGAACGAGATCAGCAGCAGCAACTGCTGCTGCTGCTCCTAGCAAGCATCTGGCTGCTCGAGGCCCCTCGCTGGAGGTTTCCTGCTGCAGCTGCAAGGCGAATATATTAGGGTTTAGGGTTTAGGGTTTGGGGTTTCTAGGTGTATGTTTTTGAGTTTAATAGCCCCTAATTAAAGACAAACAACAACAAAAACAATTAGAGCCGACGACGGGGCTCGAACCCGCGACCACGAGGTTAAGAGCCTCGCGCTCTACCGACTGAGCTACATCGGCTACGTGCTGTATTTCAAAACCCTAAACCCTAAACCCTAAATCCTAAACCCTAAACACGTAGGGCAAGCCTGAAATCCCTCAGCATATTTAAAAACAATGCATTTTAATAATTAAAGAAATGCTCTACAGCTGGTTTATTTAGGAAATAGTCACTGCCACAACCAGCCTCGCTACTGCTGCTGCTGCTGCCGCTGCTGCTGCTGCTGCTGCTGCATGCGGCCTGTTAGTCTCAGTCTGGAGTGTGTGGTTAATTGAAATTTCTGTTCCTTTTTTTATATTTATTTTATCTTCTCTGTTTACTTCGACTCTGCAGCAAACGCCGCAGCAGCAACAGATGTGATGCTGCTGTTGATGTGCTGCTGCCAGCAATGTAGGTTTTTCGTTTGCTGCAGAGAATATTTAAAAAAAAGAGCAGCAGAAAGGAAAGATGAGGCAGCTGCTTTGCTGGGGGAGGCCACTATGGGGAGGAACCGCTGAAGTATCTGTACAGAGAGCTGCTTGAGTTTATAAGGAGAGGTGTTGCTGCATATTCGCTTGCTGCTGTTGCTAATGCTGCTGCTGCTTTTGCTGCTGCGGGTATGGCTGCTGATGATGAGGCAAGGGATGGGTCAGTGTCCGAGTCAATCACAAAGACACAGGAGGGCGGCTGTCTATGCAGCACAGAGGTGCTCTCTGCTGCAGTTGCTGCAGTTGCTGTTTAACTTCTGCAGCAGCACCACAGAACTGCACAACCCTTTGCATTTATTGCTGCTGCTGCTGCTGTGGGGAAGACATTGTAAGCGTTTGATCTCCCCCTCTACTGTATCACCAGGTAGCCAGTCTAGCAACAGCAGCAGTTGCTGCTGCCGCTGCTGCTGCTTTGCTCCTTTCACTAACATCCGCTCCGCTAAAAAGATTGTCTGTACTGCTAGAAGCAGCAGCAGCAACAGCATCAGCAGCTGCTGCTGCTGCTTCAAGCTGTCTACCTAATACGCTTCCCTCTAGACTTCCTGCTGCAGCTGCACATCAATATATTAGGGATAACAGGCTGGGGGGTTAGCAGCAAATGTAAATAAATACGTAAGCTAATAATATTCAAATAGGGAGAAGAGTAAATTAGACAGAAAGCAGCCGACGACGGGGCTCGAACCCGCGACCACGAGGTTAAGAGCCTCGCGCTCTACCGACTGAGCTACATCGGCGACAACGCCAAGCCCCAAACCCTAAACCCTAAACCCTAAAGCGCTAAAATCAAACTATATTTCTTTAACTGGATTACCAGTAAAGCCGTGGCTTTTCATAGTGTTAGAAATATGCTATGCATCATTTTATTCAGGAAGCATTGGCTGCCGTTTTGTGCTGCAACCCACCCTCCCTGATTCCTGCTGCCCCTGCTGCTGCTGTTGCTGCATGCAACACGTTCATCTCGGTGTGGGGCCTTCAGTTCAGGGGTATGTCTCCGTTCTTCCTTGTCTTGCACTTCTCTTCCCTTGTACATTTACTCCCGATCAACAGCGAACGCTGCATCGGCCATTAAGTTGCGGTTGCTGCTGCTGCTGCTGCTGCTGCTGGTAGTTCGGCGTGTTTGTTTTCTCCAGAAAGCAACAAGCAGACACCGCAGTAGTTTGCACATAGGGGACCGCTGCACTGGTAAGAGAGGCCGCCTTCGTGAAGAGAGAGCTAAGGCCATTGCACAGTGCTCTTCCAGCTGCATAAGGAAAGGCTTTGGCTGTTATTTCATCGTTACTGTTGCTGCTGCTGCTGTTAGTGCTGACGAAGACTCGAGGGATATCTCGGGGTCTGACTCACTCACAGAGACACCCGAGGGCTGCTGTTAAGGCGGCTTCGCCCACATTTGCTGCTGCTGCTGCTGCTGCTGTTGGTTCTGATTAGGTGCTGCTGTGTGTTCTGCAGCGTCGCTGCAGAGCCGCCCAGCCCCGCGCAGCAGCAGCAGCAGCTGCTGCTGCTGCTTCCGGGAAGAGATTGCAGTCAGGTGATTTCCCACTCTGCTGCAGCACCAGGTAGCAAGTGCAGCAGCAGCATCAGCATTTTCATTTGAGCCTGCTGCCTAAAGCAACTCCGAGATTGTCTGAGCTGTTAGCGACAGCAAGAGCTGCTGTTGCTGCTTGCTGCTGCAGCTGCACGTCAATACATTAGGGTTAAAGGTTAGAAACTGAGCCTTTAAGATTTGAATAGGGAGAGGGAAGAAAGGGAAAGCAGCCGACGACGGGGCTCGAACCCGCGACCACGAGGTTAAGAGCCTCGCGCTCTACCGACTGAGCTACATCGGCGACAACGCCAAGCCCCAAACCCTAAACCCTAAACCCTAGACGCTGAACTTGCATGATGAGCCTTACATCAGTGGCTTTTGATAGTACCGGAAATCTGTTAACGGTGATTTTATCTAGAAGCCAGTCGATGCTGCTTCTTACCTCATCCCGCCTCCCTTGCTGCTGTTGCTGCTGCT